CCGTCCCGTCTAGCTTGTTGGATTGGTAGTAACTGATTATCTTATAACATCATCCAGCCACTTCAATAACATGGCTGGGCAACCTGTTCCACACTCCCACTTCTGTGTATTTCTGAATTTAACACAAGGTCTCCTATAGTCAGTTTGAAATGCACTCATCTCCTCTTACTTTACCCATCCCTCTTTGGGCTAAGGTATTTTTGGGGATCTCCTTGGGTCAGTTTAAACCAGCCAATGAGGATTTTGAGAACCTTTTCCAGATGCAGTGCATAATTAAAATAGGCGCATTGTAGTCTTCTCCGGGCTCATGTTGACCTCATAGCTAGATATCATTTTATTTTATTGAACCAATTGTTCTGCTCGGCTCACCTGCTGGGACACAGTTTTTCAGGTGGTGGAGTTTGAAAAAGGCTGTCTGTGGCCAGGTGACACTGTCAGTGTGTTGTTTCCCTTGCTGGGGGTGTGCAGCGCTGTGTTAATCTGGGAAAACCATTTACGTTGGGCTCTGCTTTGGAGATCTCACGTTCCTTTAAGGCCACACAAAGATTAGGTGTTTTGAAAGGACTGAATGACATTTTGTTGTTCTTTCCATGATCCTTGTGTGGCAAAGATATAGGCATTCTCTAACAGAAGCAATAAGTATGAAGTAATGCTCAGTGTTTGTTTTAAAAGGAACTTTACATATTGCTCTCAGTTACTCTGATTTTAGGTACTGCTGCAGGACTGTGGTTGTTTCAGACTTGAAGTGTAAACACTACCATGAATCTGCCAGTGGTCCCAAATTCAATTTAGCCATCTACTGGGAGAACACAAAGTGACTTCTGCTTTCCTATTGTCTTTAAATAAGATTTAGAATTTTGTTCTACATCTGACTTTTTTCCAGTGTTCCAAACATAGTTTTTTAACACTGTTTGTTGTTCTACATTGTGTATTGCTTACAGTATATCAGAAACAACAATATTGCATTATTCTTCAGATTCATGGTGTAACTCTTTTCACCAGTTGCTAACCAAATAAGAGACCACAGTAAACCTCAAGGAAAATCATTTTAAAATGATTTGCAAAGTATCTGGAAAATTAAGCCAATTTCCACTTTATGGGACATTGTATAGCAAACTTTATTTAATTTAAGTATTTTCCATGTTAAGGACAGCTTGTTTGCTGTTTTCAGCTATTTTCTTTGGCTTGTACTCATTCAAAGTAAGATGTCAAAGTGCTAGAGGAGTGAAACTAGGCAGACTGTAATACGCACCACTGGAGGTCATTATTTAAAAAGCTACAGGTGTAATAATTAAGCAGTAAATCAGATTAAGCAGTAAATCGATTCAATATTTGCTTCACGGTACCTCCGGGACTGCCTATAATTTTTCCTTAAATAATTTTAAAGCTTGTAACCAAGACTGGCCTTCTGTTTGCAGTGTCTCTGCTTTTCTAATGTGTAATGTTTCAGTAGATTAAGTCACTGAAAATCTCATTGTTAACTCAGAAGCTTCCAATCTTCAAATTTTTGGGAGGACTTGGAGGAAGCTGTTGGTAACAAGCTGAGCAAATGGTGTTTCTGTTGCTGCTGCTGTCTAAAGAAAGAAGAATAGAGCCTGTTAAAAAGTTCTGTCTTTGATTGGCAGGAAGGAACAAGAAAGAAAAGGCTAAACTAATAAAGTTTCGAAAATCTTAATCAGGAATCACAAATACATTGTTTCCAAAGATGCTCTCATTCTGTTCTATCCTCTATTACTGTGCTCTGGAATTCCAGCTAGAATGATGCTAATCTGTGGTTTAGACTGAGGTACTTTAATGTGCAAAGCTAAGATTATTCGAAACTTGTATTTCAAAATGACATCAGGGGTCAAATGCAGTAAATGTCAAGGTATTTCCACTTCACTGAATTGGCAGCAGACAGTCTAAAATGTGCACAGTTTGCATACAGTAGATTTGGAAGCACTTAACCAGTAATTCTGAAAGAATTGCTTCCAGAACGAGGTTGTCCAGTTGTCCTTCATGCTCAGTAGCTCCAGGGGTGGTTATATTCAGAGAGCATGCAGCAGGGTTTGTACTCCATGGTTATAATGCTTTGCCAAGTATGTTTTACTGCTGTTTGAAGACTAGGCCTTTCTTTAAAGTAAATGTTTAGGCTACAGGAAAAACCCACTAATGCTTGGGTGGCGCTTTCCTTTGAAATGATGGAAGGTTTCTGAACGTCCCAGTTTATAGCTCTGTGCAATAACCTCATGTGAGATCCAGTATGTGGGTGTCTCTTCATTTGCGAACAGAAAACACAATGGAAGGAGAGACTGGAATAACACACCCTGGAACCTGCAAAGCCTCTTGGCTGGCATTTATCTATAGAGTAGTAGAACAGAGTGATAAAAGTGTATTCTAGTAAAAGCAGGTTTCAGATCTTGTGTAGTTTCAGAATGTGAACCGGTAATAAGTAAAACCATGCTCTCTTATGCTCTTAAATTCACAGTAATCAACCCAGATCCATGTGTTTCTCTTATTTGAAAACGATTTCACAAATCCTAATTTTCCTCTTTTTAATTTTTTCAAAAAAGCTTTGCCTCTCTTGCTCTTGGACTATGTCTCATAAATTTGTCAAGTAATATGCAGCAGACATTGTTCTGAATATGTTTTAACAGCCAGTCAGAAAGGCTGCAAGAACTTAAATATTTCACTTGTTGAGAATCAGTCAAGCGCTGTTGTCTCCTGCTGTTGGGCAGCCAGTTCACCTGATCTGGAACACTGTAGGTTCCAGAAGGATAATGTGGTGAAGAACTCGGTCTACAGTAGTGCCAGTCAATGCTGAGACGTGCACATTGTTCCACATAGGAAGGCCAGGCTGGGGGTATGAATGGCTGAGCTGGGGACTGCACTTTTGACATTGGTAAGGGAAGTACTGTAGCTTTTTCCAAGTGGTGGTGGGAAAACCCAATGAGGTAAACCTCAGTCTCCTGCAGAGACGGGAGACATTTTTCTAGGACCTGCTACACTCTCTAAATCTTAGTTTATCCTCTTATTCTGTCTTTTCTGAAAAATAAAGACAGCTGCCCTGTTGAAGGTTTGAGCTATCATGGATGATAATTGATGTCCCGTGAGTTTTTTTTCCTGCTGGGCTTGAAGTGACTGAGAGCCATCATAGCAGCACTAGCAAGAATAATTTTGACAACAACAACAGTGAGGTTTGGATCCCCTTGCTTTTGATGCTGGTTTCCTTTCATTTAGGTTCTTGTAATTGCATCTCTGTTAGTCATTTTTTTGACCCTGAAATAGGAAATAATTTAAAACCACCAAGATCATAAAAAATATTTTATTGCTTTGAAATTCCTGTGTGCTCCCATGTTACTGCTCAGTTGTATTTACAAGTTAGGAAGAAAGGTTTCTGAAACAGGACTTTTGCCATGTGTATTGTAATGTTAAATGGGCGGAGCGGTGGCTTTGTGGTTAAGGATCTGCGCCTGTGACTGGAAGGTTGCTGGTTCAAATCCCGCAGCTGGCAGAGGAATCCTACTCCGTTGGGCCCCTGACCCTGCAAGGCCCTTCACCCCAACTGCTCCAGGGGCGCCTTACAATGGCCGACCCTGCGCTCTGACCCGAAGCTTCTCTCCCTGTCTGTGTCTCCATGGAGAAAAGCTGGGGTGTGTGAAAAGACAAATTCCTAATGCAAGAAATTGTATAGGGCTAATAAAGAAATATTATTATTATTATTAAATTATCTCAGCTGCCTGAATTTATGTCAGATCACTTATTTCAGGAATTAGGAACAAGTTCCCACGCCGAGCTGACTAAGCGACTTTGTGAAGGTTAATTTCCAGACCCAGTTCAAGGGGAAGGCTGGATAAGGGGGTGATAGAGGGTTAGCCAAGGGGGAAAGAGCGGAGTAGAGTAGGGTGGGGCGCAGCATGAATATCTGTTGTTTGAAAATGTGAGCTTGAAATCTGAATCTCGCTAGGAACTGCACCATCAGTGGATGTGACAGATGATAAATTTGAACTTGAGTTGTATTGTCTCCAGACAGCTACATAAGGCATTTAAATTGTGTTTCTGTCTTCCTGATTAGTCACACTGTATGCATGTACTGTATGATTTCTTTATTTCTGAGAAAAGTCATTTATATAACCATTCCATAATAATGTGCTCTTCACATACTGTAGGTTAAACATCGGGTCTTCACTGCAGCAGTTAGTTTAGCGCGTGCTGTTGGATCATGCTCTTGGGTGTGTTCAAGAGCCTAATGCTGTATGTTGAGATAATTTGAGCACCATGTGGAAAACTGAACAGGCAAAGGGACCAAATAAAAATGAAAAATAAACATTTCCTTGTAACTGCTTCTTAATATGATTTTTATAATGCGCACACTGCTACCCTGTGGTGAGTAGTGTAATTGCACATTGTCTGCCTGCTTCATAATGTGATGTGAAAAAAATAAATTTATGTTTTGACTTTTTTTCTAGCTTATATCGGTAGTGTTTTCTTTTTGGCTGTCTTTAAAAGTGTGTTGGACGATGATTACAAATAAGCACCTTGTGCCCTTGTCATTGCAGCAGAGTTTATTTAAGAGAAGTGTGCTTTTATTTCAGTAAATATAATTGTACATAAGAATGGTCATGGTAATATATTTAAAGCTGTAATAATTAAACTAACACATTAGTGAGTGCTTTCTTTAACCAGCATTCAACATTCAAAAATAAATGATGATATTGTAACGCATACGGTCACCATTGCAGGTTGTTCACCGCCCTTCCCTGTGAACAGCAGGGTCCGCAGCTGTTGGGCTGAGGGGAGATTTCCCTTTAGCTCAACTGGCTGGGTCCCTTTTGAGTGACTCCGGAGGCCCGGGTTCGAGTCCCCAACGGTGGGGCGGCAGCGGCAAGGGCGCAAACCCACGTGAACCCGAGAGCGCTACAATATGTATAATACACTGTATGAATATGTTTTCTTCATTGAAGTTGAAGGTCAATCTGAACTTTGAAAACCTGAAGGCTGTTCTCTGTTCTTCATTTTAGGAGGGCGTTCTTCTTGCTACTATCAATATGCACAGAAGTGTTGTTTGCACGAGAACAGGGGCAGGCACAAGGTAAGCACTTTCAGACACTCTTCGCCTCCTTGAGAATGATGCCAGCTCTCTGCAGATAAATTCTCTATTCAGGATTGTCTCGCAGGCATGTACTTCAGGGTTGCCCGCCTTCAAGCTGGTTCACGACTCTGCCCAGAAAGGACCCATAATGAGACTCTTGACCTTTTCAAATGCAAATGGATTTTCCATCTTGGAATGGCTGGATGTCCCGGGACACTGTTTTTCACAGAAGGGAATTTGTTTGGTTGTTAGAAATGCTGATTGTTACGCAACTTGTGTAGGATTGGCGAGGAAAATAGTCATATTTTCCTAAACGTTAGACACCTGACAAAAGAATACCACACTGTACCAAAATACACAGGCTACATAGAACTCTGAGAATTTTTTTGCCTCCCTTACAAAAATCACTGTGTCTTCATCTTTTCAAGTTCATACAAAGAGCAGATAAGCAAATGTCAATTATTTTCACTTCTAAAGCACCAAATATCCCATATCTGCGTCTTACTGAATAAGAGTAATTTTGCATTGTTATGGCTAACATTATGTATTCAGCTGATAAATATGGCTGAATGTTCTGCACAATAATTCTTTGTTGCTGTAAAGCCAGCCCCTGATTATTACATCCAAATAATAAATTAACTAAAATAAGCTTTGACTGATATGATTATCTCTAAATTGCTTGATTAAAACTTAAAACCTTATCATTATCATCAGAAAATAATATTTTAAACTATGAGAAATTTTTAGTCTTAGTTTTATTTGAACATTCAAGCTGCTCTTGTTCTGGGAACCACTGCACCAGTGGACGTGACAGTCCGTCACACCCAGGACTGACCCTCACAGGAGGCAGCAACACTTTTGACACCACCGCAGGCCATAGCCTGCTTGGCGGAACGTGCCTGGAGATGTTTAGCTGCATTTCGTCAAACCTCTTTGGCCGCTGAACTCCAGACTTGGTGGGTATCTCTCTAGCTTTCCCTTGATTCACTTGCAGTTCGTTAACGCTGTTAAAATAAGGGGGCACGGAAGAAATGGGGGTCCCGTTTCAGTCAAGATGGTGGCCTGACTCATGTATCCGACAGTTCTTTCAAAATGTTTTTGTGAACAGCTTCACCAGTTACAGCCGACCCCTGTCGAAAATGGGGGTTGTGTTTCCCTAAAGTGGTCAGTTCAGCAAATTTGCATAGGAGAGACTTAGCGCTTTATACAGTATATTAAATACGCAGCCATGTAAAGTTACCTGTTGGTACCTGAACAAAAATAAATGAAAACATATAGTACGTTTATAAACATTTATGACATTCATATATGGTAACCTCTGTTTGGCTACCTCTGCCCTCGTGTACAGGGACTTGAGCGAGACTTGGTGGCCTGGGAAGGTATTCTTACAGCACAGCAGTTATTACTCAGTAATTACCCGGTGTACTAATGCGTTATGGATGCGAGCCACAGTTCCTATGCAGCAGGCCTGTTTGCTACAGAGGAAGACAGCTGCACAGAGATCTCTGTGCTTTTTATTTTTTTACCTTCTTGCATGTCGGCTCTTGTCTTTAAGATCCTAGATCTTGGGTAAGGACTCCCAGTGAAAAACCCTTTAAAAATACAGTTAACATTTCCCTTTTATAAGCAAATACCTTGATTCATGTCCTACCTTTCTCTGACCCAACAAGGATGATTCTGTTTATGTTTTGCCTGTTCAGTAAAAAAAGACAGCATTCAGCATATTTCTGTGAGCTTTGTAATTTGCTGTGATACAACAGTTGTGCAGAAATAACAGCCACCTGTTTTCAGTGGACACGTATGAACACATTTGAATTGGCAGATACAGTTTTCTCCATGATGACACATTTCCATCGGTCTCCAGGTGTTACATCTTTCTGGCCATTTCCCTTCACTGTTTGTTCTCAGCTTGATATCACGGCTCCTGCTAGGTGTGTAAATTATTTCTCACAGCTGATGGAAGTTTTTTTTGATTGAGATGCATTCAAACTCCGAGTATATTTTAAAGTATTTGCTCTTTGCAGTGGGTGCTTGTGGTGTATGATATCTCAGCAAGCCATGAAAATAAAACCTGTCCAGAGCCACTATCAGATTAGTGACTGCAGGACGTATGTGAACACATCAGGGGCAGGTATTGTCTGTTCCGATTTGAAAAACACTTCTGAAGTTTCCAGATATTCAGGATTGTATTTTTATGTATATATACTTTTGTACATGTTATTATTTTTTTAAGGATGTAAGAGTTGTTACCTGTGAGAGTCGGCTATGTGACCCATCTACCTTGTTTCTTTTTTAAGAGTGAATGGATCCAAAGATCTCATCTGGAAGTTACCTAAAAGAAGCCAAGCACACCTGCAACAATTTGACTGGGCAATTTATTCCATTCTCGCATAACTCTTTAGGCTAAGAAGTGCTTTGCTTTATTGTTCAGTAATGAACATCCACTCTTTTCCATTTGTGTCCTCTGGTTTGTGTTTCAGTGCTGGTTCTGACGAAGTCCAGTGGCTGAGGAAACTGAATACTTGAGTCAGGCCTCTTAGTCTTCTCTGTTTAAGATAAAAAAATCAGTTTCACTCTGTCAGTGTACAACATTGCTTTGAATCTGGAAATGTATGTGGTTGCTTTTCTCTGATGGATTCCAGAGCAGCAGTAGCATTTTAGTAATGTGGTGACATAATTATGCACAGTTAGCTTGAAGAGGTCCTACTAGTGCATTGTATGATTTTGTGGTGATCATTTTTCATTTTTTGAGTGAGCCGGTTGGAAACAGTGCACTGCTATAGCATAGCTATGAAAAGCCATTCCGTTTTCTCTCATGACCCTCTGGCTGGAGGACTGTCATGCAGTTTTCATTCAGCAAAAAACCTGATGAGGTAAAAAGACAGTCTCCCGGAGCACAGCGGTAATCTGAATGTTCCCCCAGAGCCTGTTGCTCTTAGAAGGCACACTGAAGAGTCAAGTGAAGTCCATGGACAAAATTAAAACGAATCAGCTAAGAGTCAGGATATAAAAATGTACTCTTAACAGCATCGCATGTCTTCATTTGCAAAAGACAGGTCCCTGTTCCAAGATACTGTAGGTAGACTTTTTTTGTTGGTAGAAGAAGAAAAGACATCATACAATTATTTGTTAGCAAATCTAAAATCATCCTGCTCTTTAAAATGAGACTCCCCCTTCATTGTGACATTTAGTTTCTTTGCAAATTAATCCAGGCAGCTAACACATTTATTAGGACAGTTTAGACAATATGCATTCCATACACAGTAAAATAAAATTAGTTATAAATATCAGAAATAACTTAGTCAGAAAAAATATGCAAGATAATCAAAGCCCAATAAAAACAGGCACATATAAAACATCTGCTAAGCTTAACTGTATCAGAAGCCCTCTGATCATCTAAATTGACCATTTTGTCTCCTCAGTGAGACATTCTCCTCCTCCCATTGCTGCTGTTGCTTGCACATTTAGTAAGTTAGTTAAGGAAGACGTGATTGCTTGTATATCCATGTTGGATCTCACCTTTTATCGAAATCTAGTGGTTTTAAAACAGATAAATATGATAAATGTATTGATTGGGCATTTTGGGAGTTACTGTGGTACCTTGAAGCACATTTTTTTTAAAAAAGCCCAGCCCTTTTATAATTCCAAAGGTCTGCTTTATTCACTATCTTTCCTCATATATTATAATTACTGCAGGTTTATTTAACCTAAAATAAAAGTTCACAGGTAAATGTATTCCCAACCAAATCACAGAAACTCAAATAGTGTGTGATTTAGAACACAGTGACCAATTCAGTCAGTTCCTTTGTTAAATTTAAAACATTAAAAAGGTTAAAAATTGACATTATAAAATGAGAATTTAAATTTCTGTTGTGAGTTGTAACATGCCTGTAAGATAATTGAAAGCTTGAAGATGCCTGAATATATGTTTCACTTTCTCTGAAAACGGCCTCCAGTGTTTGTAATTCTCTGGCAGTAATTCTCTCCCCAAATCTTTTGCGAGACTTTTCCATTTTTTTTTTCCTTTAGTAGGTCCCACTGCAAGCTGAGTCAATTCATCACAACTGTGGAGGAATGCACACTGTAGGCTACAAAAGCTTGACTTCTCACATGAGACAGGTTAATTGCAATCTGGGCTGACATTACCTGAGGCAAAGAATGTCAAGGACACATTTTTATCCTAGTCCAGAAAAAAATAAAATCTTCAGCTAAAAACAAATAAAAAGTCAGCTAAAAACACACTGCAGAGAACTGACACCTGGTACCAGAGGTACAAGTGTTCTTTCACAAGGTGTCCTCCCACAGTGCCCTTGCTATCGCCTGTGAGTGATCTGCACGCCCCTGAACGTTATTTCAGAACCTCTAGCAGTCTGTTTCGAATCCAAGGGGTCTGAACATGCTATTACATTTTGCAACATCAGGCTTTAAATTCTGTTTTATTTTCCTAATCCATCTTTATGGATCTTGTCAGTGACACCAAGGCAGCTAGTACTCAATACTCCATTATGCTGTAAAACTAGGTCTCATTTATGTGCCATTCCCTTGCAAATATCAACTAGCTTTGCTTCAAGAAATATTATGGGTGTAGAAAGCAGTCAGCCCGTTCAACCTGTTCATTTATTTGCCGTGAGAAATGCAACTATCCTGAAATAATGCACTAACTGAAGAAGAGTCCCAGAACCCATTTTTGCAGGTTGTCTCGTAAATCCAGTTCCAAACACCAAGCAGAGTCTACTGACAAATGCGATCAATTATCAGTTTTTTTTTCATTTGTTTTCATCAAAATTTCTTAACTGTCTTAACTGTTGTTTGGTAACATCTGTCCTGCATATTATACAAGGAGCGGGAAAATAAAGAACATGAAGAGCACAATCTTTTGGGGGTAAATCAAATCATCTTAAATGTTCTCTACTAGCAGAAGGCTCTACAGAAATCTGGTGGGATTATCCACTGAGAATTGCCCCTACAGTATATCCCAAGGTGTAATGGAAATAGACTGCGGAAATCTTTTATCCTGTCTACAAGTTCACTCTCATATAGTGTCAATTAATTATTCTATTCTTGCAGATGTTCTTAAACTCTTTCTTTGGGGATGTCCTGGTTGTGTTAGACGCTGCAAAACCCCAGGGGGTCTTGAAATGAAATTTAGTAGAGCTGTGTTCTTGCAGTATGTGCGTTAACATGTGAAGGTCCTACACAATATCGCGGCTTTCATGTTTTAACTAAGATTAGAAGTGTCCACTGTGTAAATCATAATGTAATAGAGAAATCTATGTTGATTGTATGCTTCAGTGGAATGACGTCAAAGCAAACATTATCTCGATAGATCTGAAGAAGTGCTGTCGTGCAAAATAGCTATCGCTTTGCTCTTCGTGTACCCAGGCTGTTCTTGTGTCCATGGACCAGAGGAGTTTTACGGATTGCCCTGCTAGAAAACTGCATTGTTTAGTTGCACTCAGGGGACTTCAAAGATGATAAAAACAAACGGTTATAGCATCTGTTTTCCAGATCAGAGCCCACTGAGCCAAACTAGTGTTATCCCAGTGAAGTGAATGATACTATAGTATGATGATAAACATAATGCTGGCAATTGAATGGTTGCTTTAAAGTCAGAGCATGACAGTGAAAATTTTTGGTAAAAGAGTGGTGGTGTTTAGTAGTGTGTTTTAATTGTCAACCAGATTTCCTGTATCTGGAGTCTGTGTGTTGAACGCAGCTGTTGTACTGTTTTTAGATTTTCTCTTTTGCATGCAGAACTCCGATAGAGCTTCTGTTTGTGAAAGCAAGGTAAGATATTTTGAGGGTAGTCATTTAAAATGCAGGAACAATAAAAATATGTTTATGTAAAATGCAGAATCTCAAGTAAACTAGCTCAGCAAATCAGAATAAATTAAGTTATTTTTTTTCCAGTGAAAACATAGACCTGAAACTATATGTTTTCTGGCAAGCTTTCCAGGAATTAAGACAGCTTCTGCAGCTGTTTTCTGACAAGAGCAGAGTAGCTTAGCTTTTTGTTGCTGCTTTGATGATGCGTTGAGTTTTCCAGTATGTGGCTAAGCCTCAAATCCTGATGGGGTTAATGTTCTGGGAACACTATTGTGGGTCCTCTTGGCAAGCAGTCAGTTTTAATGCTAAGGCTTCAGTGCCTCAATAATACAGTACATTCTCACTCAAGTCCTTACAGGCGTCTCTGAGCCTCTGATGGAGCATACAATTAAAATGCTGTTTCAGAAAGATAGGAACTAGGATTAATACTTTTTAATGTCTTGCTTTTCCACTAACTGACTGATGTTCAGACTCTGTAACAATACAGATTTATGGAAAAAAAATCTGATTTTTATGGAGACCTACAGTACCTTGCTTCGTTTTGAATGTTTGAAATGTGTTGCGGAGATGTTGCTTTTTTCAGTTCAGTTCAGTTTATTTGTCATATGGACAAGTGCAATGAAATACCTATTTGCATGTGTGCTCTGATACAAAGACATTTGGAAACACCAAAACAAACACAGAACCGCAGCAGCAACAACAGGTTAAATAACAGACAACTTAAAAAAGGAGTTTTGGGGCTTTTAAGATGCTCAGTGCTTATAATCTGAAGCTACCCAATATTCAAATGTAGTAGAACTAATTAAACTAGATCAGCAGAGTTTAGATATCATGGATAAGACCTTTCAACTTATAATTATGTAGGTCAAGTGTATTTACTATATTTATGAATTTGAGAAATTTACCTGCAGTAGTACGAATGCATCCTTCTTCTCTTCAAAAGAAACCATATTGAATGTCCATAAATCATGGGGGATTCCTGTCACCAATTTGGTTGCCTTTCCTTTAGTTTTTAATTATGTTCCATGTGATTCTCTGTGACCTTTGAGCTTACAGTATGTTTTTATTAATCCCACTAATTATTTTTCCTGCAAACAGCTTTAGAGGCATAAGCTGACATACCCAGACTACTGTATTTTAAGCAGTTTGCTGCCTCCTGCTGTATTAACTGGGTCCACTGGAATGGCTATTCCTGAGTATTGATCTGTAGTATGATCTACAGAAAAGCACATTCTTCTTCTTTGATTAAAATTAAACATGCAATGGCTCAGCTACAGCATCTTCTTGATTCCAACGTTTAATCCATCCGTTTTCTAACCACTTTATCCAATGCAGGCTCATGGGGGAGCCAGAGCCTGTCCTGGCAAGCAACAGGAGGGATGCCAGTCCATTGCTGGGCACACACAGACACAGACTCACACCAGGGCCCATTTTTTCCAGAAGCCAATTAACCTACCAGTGTATCTTTAGACTGTGGGAGGAAACTGGAGCACCTGGATGAGTGAACATGCAAAAACTCATGTCATAATATGGCAGCTACTGTATGTCGTGATTTTCAGACATGTTCATTACTAGATAGCAAGACCTTTCATGTACCCGGTGTTTGCAGAAATTTTAGGATTTTGTTGTGTGTGATCTGAGCTGGCCTTGAAGAGCAACGTCGCCGTATCCCGGCAGGAACAGAAACACAGCTGCTCAGCCACCCTGAGAGGTTCTCATTGGTTTTTAATGTCCGTCACAGTGAATCCGAGCCACACACCATTCCCTCATGATCGGTCTCGGAGCACGACCTCCATTTCGTGCATGTTCACCCCAAATGTGCAACACGACACTCCAGTTACTCCACAAAAATAACCACGAGTCCAAGGAGGTATCTTGGAAACATTAGGGCCCCAGCAGTGGGGTGATGATGGATTGTGCTTGATGCCATTAAAACTTCAATGGTTCTCAATGTTATCAAGCTGTATTCTTTTTTTATTTTGGTTTTTATGCAATTTATTTAATTGTTAATGTAATCTTTGCTAAATATATTCAGTTATTTCAGTACTTTTGGACACTGCGAAAAAGCCATTTATTTGCACTTCCTATCTTGAAAGAACACATCCTGTAATGCCTGTTGGATGCAGTCAGGATGACGGGAGCTGATGATTTTCCTTCTTCTCCTCCCGCAGGTGTAGATATTCTTCATCAGCTTGGCCTTACAGGCAGCAGAGAGAGACACTCCTCAGGGACAACTGCTCTCCCATCATCCTCTCCTCCACCTTTTCCTCAGGGCATCCTTCTATCAGAAGCAGGAGTTACTCTAACAAGAGGTGCTCGCATTGAGGCTCCAACAGCGAGGCTGTTCTCCACTGAGTTCGGGAGCGAATTCACAATCATTGTGAGCCTGCGCTCAGAGAGAGTGAACAATGCTTTCCTTTTCAGTGTCAGGAACAAGAAAAACAGATTACAGTTTGGCATTCAGCTTTTGCCGAAGAAGGTCGTCATTTACATTGCAGAGAAGACGTCAGTCTTTTTTAATTACAATGTGCACAACGGGCAGTGGCACTCCTTTGCCATCGGTGTCCGTGAGCAGTCGGTGTCCTTGCATGCGCAATGTGGAGGCCAGTATTTCAACAAGGAGACACATGCCAGGCCTCAGCAGCTGAGCTCTGAAGGCTTCCTCACCTTAGGAAGGATGAACATTAAAGCTGTTCAATTTGAAGGTGTAATATGTCAGTTGGACATTTATCCCTCTGCACAGGCCTCTACAAATTATTGCAACTATGTGAAAAAACAGTGTCGCCTTGCAGACACATACCGATCACCAACCCCTGACATAGGTACAGAATCTAATGGTCATATGACTTCAAACCTGCATGTGGTGGAATCCCAGGTAAACCCTACATTATCCGAGGATTCTAGAATGGAGAGAAAACCTGGAAGTGCCTCTGCTGTTTCAGGCAGTAGTGTTGTGTGGCACCAGGATTTACATCCCAGGTCTTCCGAAATCCCAAATCCAAGAGCTCTGCCTGAGGAATCCTTGCAGCTCCATCGTCGAAACACTTTTGAAAGTGGTTTGGCCACGTTTGGTGTGGGGCAGAGGAAAGGAACATCTTCGGGTAGGTCTGGATCCATGGGGAGTCCATCGGAGAATGCCACTGAGAACGACAGCCGAAATAAAGGGCACACTCCTGCCAGTGACGCCCCTCCGGCGCTCCCGCCAGCCAGGCAGGGTAAGATCAAAGAGATCCTGAGTGGCAGGAGCAGATCCAGGCAGTCGACAGATGGTTTACTGGGAGGTCAGCTCAGAATTAACACCACTTTGTACAGGGCACCCCAGGAAACTGAAAATCTGGTGGACATGTGGGAGGAACCTGCCTACACTGAGACAAACTACAACACCGACAAGGTCTATGACCTGGACATGGGAGATTATGACTACAGCTATGGAGAAATGGACTACTCTGTTGATTATGATGGGCTACAGGGACCGAAAGGAGAGCCTGGTCCCCCGGTGAGTCTTTATCACTGTTTTGGTTAACGGCAGATACAGTAGAAATGTGTTTTTAGAGGTGCGTTACCGCAACATGTGAAAGATTATTTGAAAATGGTCTTCAAAAATATATTATAAGCTATCAGAGCTGATTTATACTGTAAGTGCCTGAAGACAAAGTTTCATCATTTTGGCCACACAGTGTATATTTACATTTCAGCGTAGCAATGAGCTGGTAGCTCTTCCAGATGTTTTTATTTTTTTTATGTGTGCCAACAGATGGTTAAATTTCATAAGAGATGACAGAGATTTCTAAATTAAACCATTCCATCTTTTTTCACATGAACAGACTTTCATATATTTTCTGAACATATGTATGGAAAATAATCTGTGTTATTCTGTGCTGTGAACCTTTACTCTGAAGTATTTAGATGATGCCTCTCAGACATACAGAACAAATCTGAATTTGATGTGGCACTGTCTGTGATTCCCAGGCGTCTGTCCGAGTTTAAGATACACAGTAGATGGAACAAATCTTGAGCTAAAATGTGGCAAGTGAGTTATGCTCCCTGGCTCCTAGCATTAATTTAGCTGAAAGCTGTTTTTTTAGTGCTGTTGTTGATGGTGATGAAAATCATCCTGTGATGGAAATTAGAAATCATTTTATTTTTTATTTTTCCCTGTGTTGCCATTTGTCTCTCAAATGAGAAATGTCTCAAGGAGCTCTCTCTTCCACCTGGGTTACACTTTTCAGTTAAAGCCTTTTCTCTGCCTGATGCTAAAATATTAATTCCTCCTTTGTTTCTGTAAGACTTGACTGCTGTATTGCCTTTCTTACTAGGGCAGCTACAGTGTACATCTACATCCTAAACATGTGTAAAACCTGTGGTGGAGAAGATTTCTTTGAATGGAGATCTTGTGAGTCCCAGTACCAGGCTGTCTGTCGGTAGCATTTGTTTCCTGAATATTTTTAATATTTAAAGTGGTGTTTGACAGTGAACCATGTGTTTTAGTTTCCGAGACATTGCCACATGGGTCAGAGAAAACTCCTGTCCTAAATCACAGATACCCACAACACAGCCACTCTTCCATGCCTGTTACATATACTGGGAGATCATCCCACAGCTTTCTCCCTGTTTTCTAAAAGACATTGTCAACCCAGGTGAGGTGGCATATCATTTATGATATACTGTACTAGACTGAGCTACACCAGAGTGTTTTGAGCCGGAGTAATTTGTATCAGATGCAGATGAAACAGCTGGATAAGACCTGCGAATCGATTACCTTCTAAGTGGCTGAATGGGCTGCTGTTGTTTGCATACTTGCTGGTGCTCTTATAAACACAGTGGGTTTTACCACAGCAGTTAACTTGTACAGCGTGTGCACCTCTGGAGTCCTGACGTTTGCCCTGATTCCCTGGTGCTCTGGGGTGCTGCACCCCTACCCAAGTCGAACATCCACAGTGCCTGGATCCTAGTCTCTGGATAGACGAACATCTTAAACTTTTTTTCTTCACTGTAATGGAATAGTTACAAAACCTTTGTGTACACTTAATAAAAGTCAAGCTCTACAAGTCTCTCTGAAAACTTTTATTTAAAGTTTTTATGAGAATCTTATCTAAGTTTGGTGATTTGCATGTTCAATGATGACACCTTTATGCAACACTGTATTCATTGCACATGGAATCACCCAGCAAGTTATTGGGTCCCTGTTCTTAAATGAGAATTACTGTTAATTACTGCCGAGGAGCAGACTCCACACAATAAGCTGTCCGGAGCACCAAAACCGTCCATCCAGACTCTCCCCATTTCCGTCTTTAAGACTCTCAAAGTCCTGTCTTTTTATGGTAGTGAAACAAAAATTGTTTTAACCTCTAATTTAGTTAAACTTTTTATGGGGGGATTATTACTTCTCTTATGCACTCTATACTGTGTGTGTGGTATTGCACAGGGTTCTGAGTTTTTTAAAAGCATTTATAAATAATGTGGTATTATCATCAAAGCACAGCTTTGTGTTAAATGGACACCAGTGCAGTACGGGTTGCACACTGCAGTACGATCAGCGTGTGATTAAATCTGTTCAGCACAAGGTGCTGCAGCTCAAGGCGAGTGGCTGAGCGGGTGAACAGCTCATGGGGCAGCAGAGGCACCAGAGAGCTTGTCTCTTCAAAGGGACATACTTTTTAATGCATTTCCAAACCACCACTGTGGTTTTATCCCATCACTATCGTTTTATTTTTATTGTAAAATTCTCAGCCTTTTCTTATTTTCATAAGGACAATTTTCATAAAGTCATGATTTAAAAACGTTATTGATTGAAAAAAAAAACATGCAAGCAGATAAGGTTTAAGACACTGTCTTGTTCAAACTAGTATTCTCATCCAACTTTAATCAGAGTTTAGGAGCGCACTGTGCTGTCTTCTCTAATGGTTTCCTGCTTCTTTATGAGGAAGTGTGGTGTTGAATGTTTGAATGCAAAATCCTGTTCTGGCTTCAAAGTTTTCACACACACAGAGCGAATAAGGCCACTTTACTGGGAGATTTTTTGTGGATGGGAATTTACAAGATATGATCTCCAAACCCAAAACCTTATTTAAGAGAGTCAAAACACCCCATGATTTTAACAATAATTTCAGCTGTGATATACGGGCTTGTTCTCTAGCCTTTACTTTCTGTTGTGACATTCCAAGGTTGTTTGGACATTGCAAAGCAAACACAGTGATGCTGCTTCCTCCTGAAAGAAAGTAATTTTGTTGTATCTGCTACTCTGTTCACTTCTTAGGTGATACAACAAATCTCTTCCCCAAAATGTTGATCTGTTCTGGAATATTTTAAATAAACTTCCATGTAAGTGGCAAAATATTCTTAGGAAATGCATAGACAGTTATAAACCTTAATGGTATTCTTAACGAAATTCCCTGAAAATAAATATTAAAATGGACTTTTTCATCATATCTTTTTCACAATGCTTAATCTGCATCACTAAGATATTTTCTAAAAACAGTAATGTGTAAATTTGACGTAATCAGAGTTCAGCAAAAGACCTCTGAACTGTTTTCTTTCATATTAAACAGATGAACGATGGCTGTCTATCATCTTTTGTATTGGCAACACTCAGGTCTTCTCATGCTGCCTTGGCTTCAATTCGACTTTAATCTCTGGCAATTATTCAGTTTTCAAATCATTCTTGTGCTAAACTGCCTGCATTAACATTCAGTACAGTATCAAACGATTACACCAGTGGTTGTGTTTGGGTTTGTTATTTACACCAGGAGTCGTCACATAGCCCCGTACCTGCAGGGCTTTCCAGTGCAGATAGTAGAGAGAGGAACACAAGGATTTACATAGTCATAAAATAGGGGAACAAATTAATAAAGATAATTAGGTAAACCAGCACATGAAAGCTTATATTTGACCTATTTGGCTTATTAATGCAATCTTTGAACTTTTAGTCAACTCTCAAGGTCATGTAACTCTTGATGTCTTTTCTTACTGAGACAGGGGGCTCATGAGGAGGATCTGCCCTCTCTGCTGTAACGTGCTCTACTGGTGTACCCTCAGCCCGAGGGACTGCTCTTCACATTATTAGGTCATTTTAAGCAGAAAGTTTTATCAGTCTCAGTTTCAGGAGAAATCGGAGGGCGTACTGGCGGTCACTTTTAGTTTTTTGTGAACTGTGATATTTGCTGTTATTGGACCAACGACAGGAAAAACTGGACACATTCTGGATATACTGTACTATGCAGACAAACTTTGAATGGTACACACAAGTACCAAGTGTCACTGCCCGCGATGGGCTCTGAGGAGCTTTTACAAATCTGGGCAGGCAGCGACAGGCAGGCAGCATGGAATGCCTTATCAAAATAACTGGAAATTATAGGTGATATGAAACATACCTATTGAAAAGGAAGTATGTTTAACAAAGTAAGACTAATCCATGTTTGTACAGAGCTTAGATTTTAAATCCAGGGCTCTTCAGATCTGTGTACCATCGTGGTATTCATTCTCCTTGGTAAACACTACTCAGTGTGACATGATTAGCTAGTCTTTGCTTTTAATATATACATAATATCTGTTGCCAGCTGTACTTGCTCTCCTCTTAATCGATGTCACCCATTTGCCTCATGTGGATGGTGTATTATATGCCACAAGCATCTGTTCAGAGGAATAATTGCAAGGTTAAAGAAGGCTTTCTTTTTTAATCTGCACTTACACAGTAATGGCAACTAAGCACACACACTCCTCTTCCACCTTTGTTATGAGGTTCCTGTACAGTCTTTAGTTCCCCATAATTAACAGCTAAGAACTGTGAAAAACGAAATGCAGATGGCTGTAGCGGAACCATACGCGATATGATTGTATCTGTGAGATCATGGTTGTGACGAGGAGGCGATGATGAACTACCTTGGTTCCAAACTTACACAGTTTAATGTTTCACATTTATGTCTCATCTCTTTTAGCATCAGTATCAGCTCCCTTTCCTGTGTAGATTTTCATTCGCTGGGGAAAAACAATTCAATTAATTTAGCGTGTTTCAGGGATTAGACAAAGACACTTTTCCAGAGCAAAGATGATTAGGCAGTTGGAAATGTCAAACGTCTCTGTGGAGAACGTTGGGTTGGCCAAGGTTCTTTGGGGATTTGAGAGAAGACACATGTTGCTCCTGAAGTTGTAAAGGAAGGAAATGTAAGGGGGCTGTATGTGAGCAGCTTTTGTTATTTTTAATCGTGTTCCAGTGTTCAGCCAGTTTTCCATTACCACCACCTTGCTGAAGAGTGGTTTTGTAGTCTGCAAGTTTCTAGATTGAAGCGTCTCACAGCAGCTTGCCTCCCAGCTGAAACCCTGTTCTTCTCTCGTGCTCCAGGGTCCCCCCGGTCCCCCTGGTTTGCTTGGCCCTCCTGGAAGAAGAGGCCCTCGGGTAAGTAGAGGTTTGGAGTCTCTCTGTGTGCTGTTGCTCTTTGTTGTGCAGCAAAGCCCCACACTCCTGCTTTCCCTTCGTTAGGGCTGCCCAGGGGCACTTTCTGTGCTATTAATCCTGTACGTTACAGAATGGGCAGACGTTCTGCAGTTTTTTATAGGTTTAGATTTAGATGCACTTGGATACGCCAGTTGTGCGTTTCTCACGTCCCGCCTCATCGCCGCAAGCCCTGCAGCCAGACGTGGGCGAGAAGGAGGAAGAGCGCGTAGACTTCCCTGGTGGCACTGGATGGTATTCTAGCTAATGCAAACGTTTGCAAAATGAGAAGGGCTAGAATGGCCTCACTCTCTGTGGCCGAATCCTGTCTCCTACAATGTGAGTCCTCCCCCAGAAGGCTAAAAGAACCTCGTCTCTTTAGACTAAGAGAATATGAGGACCTGATAGTATTCAAAATCCTAACAGAGATTCACAAAGCCAGCCTCGTGGATTTGTTGAGAATCAGTAGTGAATTAGAAACCAGGGACCACAGATGGAAACTGAGAAGGAAATGCATTTGAAACTGGGAGCAAGTGGAATTTTCTTGCAGAGAGGGCTGTGCCAGTGTGGAACCTGCCCCACTTAACAATAAAATAACTTGAGCAGAAGGTAGACAACTTAACTGTGTCTTGAAGAATGCCAATAATTCCAGCAGTGCACATCATATTGGGAAGAGGGGTCAGAGAGCGCCAGCGTTCAAACTAAAAACTATTTTTCCATCATCTTGGTACTAAGAGTCAGACAGGGACCCTCAAGCAAGTAGTCTGTATTGCTGGTTACTGCTCAGGACGTGCGTGTACAGTACAAGATACTTGCATGTTTGGGAAGGTGAAGCACTTTATCCAGTGCTTTGGGACAGCACTGCAATCAAAAAGCTGGCTGCAACAGCGGCTTTGTTTCCTCCTGCAACATCAAAGTTAGTAGCTTTCTGCAGATGGTAGCATTTTTTGGTAGAATTGTTAAACAGCTGTATTGAAACATCCGCTCATAAAAATGGGAAAAAAACAGGTCTGTGAGAGCCTCTCATGAAAATGAGAGGTAGACTAAGGACAGGTTCTTCATTCCTGTAACACATACAGGAGATCCCAGGTGGCCTTCTGAAAAAAAACCCACAAAGATTCCAAAGAAACCTAATCGCACTTTGTTCACAAGAGAGAGGAGTGCTCAATCTCTGAGCAGTTTTCATTCAGAAAAACAGATGAGACAATTCCTAAATTGTATCCTAAATACATCCTGTTTTTATGCTTTAAAAAGTGGAATTTAAAATTTCTCTCTCAATTTTGAGATCTCTTCAGAGTTAACTCTTTATATTGAGAGCGTAATAAAGTTAATAATGTCGGCTGAGGCGTTGAAGTGGTCTTTTAGAGGCGCACTGTAAAATCTCAAGTATCCCGGTGTCGGGGGAAGACGCCACCCCTGTTCTCCAGCACACGGGATTCCCGCAGCGTGACGTGTGCAGCATGGCTAAATAAAACTAACAACACAGTTACATGGCTGTGAACCTGACACACCAGGATGGAAACCCAAGTTTCCTGTTAGTTAGTATTGATTTAATTAAAAGGTGTGGTTTAAAGAGATTTTGTTTTTGGCGTGTGTGGGAAAGTGTGGTTCAACAATGTGCTCATTGATGCCTCCCTTCTCTGTGGTTCCCAGGGACTGCCAGGACCACATGGAAACCCTGGATTGCCTGGCCTGCCTGGTCCGAAGGTGAGCCCTTTGTACTGACATTTCAAGGACGGTGTTGAAATATTTCTCTAGTTTATTATCTGGTCCTTATGGAAGCTCAGAAGAGTGCCCCAGGCTCAATCCACAGTCAGGACAGAGTTCCTGTATTTTTCATTGTCATGAGTTTCATTCCCCAGATTCCAGCTCAGGATCTGCGATGCTTAATCCTAAATGGCTCATATTTTCCACAGAGCAACGTGTTCGTGCAGTACAGATCCTGATCCTGAGCTAATAAAATCTGTTGACGTATCAATGCATTCTGCCAGACACTTTTCTTAATAATAGAGTTAAGCTTCAAAGGTCTTACTTTACCTTTCAACATGAAAATAAATATTGTGATTTGAGATAGTTATTAAGTTATAAAAGACCAAATACTTCCCTTTCTTCCAGTTTCTCCATGCTGTTTGGTTTGATGGAAATGTCAATAAGCTGTAAGGTGCTGTTAGATAACAACAAAATACCTCTTTTTACCATTTGAAATGTATCAGTGGAGAGCAGATGCATGAAGAAAAAATGCAGGTATGGTGCACTATCAGACTGTATCCATGCTAGTATCTCCAAAGTGCAGAGTATAAATTTATCAAAAATTGAAAAAAGAAAAATTGCAGTGTCATTAGGGGACTTCTGAATCCAATAAACCTCTTAACTTTCACTGCTTTGGTAGACAGTTTGTAGTCGTATTGTAAAAATATCACAAACTGCAGCTCAAGAACTGTAGATCACAGTTTTTGGAAGAATTCCCTTTTCATTTTTTCTTGTTTTAAGCAATAACAAATTAGCCACCTGCACAAGCACATTTAGATTTCTGTCCTTCTCTCCCCTCACAAATGTACAGCAGAATTGTAGCCCAGGGCATTTTCTCCCAGACTACCACCTACTTCCAGTAACTGCTCAGTCCAGTAGAGGGTGGCGGTGAGCTGCAGTCTAACCCAGCTGACAGTGGGCTCAGGGCTGGATGCACCCTGGAGCGGATGTCGGTCTGTTTTATAGCACTCACATTCCCTCACGCTGCGTTTGCACTGTGGGGAAGCTGGAGCACCCAGAGAAGGCCGACGTTATTATGGGGTGAGCCTGCGTGCTCCCCACATTGGGACCCCAGGCTGGAGTTGAACCCAGGATCCAAGAGCTGTGAGGCAGCATTGCCCTGTATCACCACCAAGACTACCACCATCTCATAAACATTCAAAAATCCCCTTTTTGAAGCAATGCTTGCTTGAAGGCATTTTCCATGTTTTAAAATTCCTGTTTCCCAGTCATACTTTCGGAAACAATGAGCTCGTGTAGTGTTTTGGTAGTGGGACATGCAGATGCGTCTCTGCCGGCTACAGAAACATGGGTTGTTGTGGAAATGGAACTTGCTAAGGAAATGTTCAAAGCACATAGACAATAAGAACATTGATCCCACTACCTCAAAGGTGGGAGCTCTCCGAAAAGCCCGAGGAGGTTGACATTCCGATGTCTTGCAGTCCCGAAAAATCTTGCAGTCTGGTGCAGTTGGGCAGAACACAGTCCTGCAGCCAGCTCACTGAGTCCTTGCTGCAGCAGCCTTGCTCACCTGCCAGTTGCTTCCTGAGATGTGAAAAAGCTTCCTTCATGAATGGAACCCAGCAGAATTCCCTCTCACCTCTCAGCCCTGCGTCACATCTGGGATCTCCTGCTCCAAGCTGGCCTAAAGCTGTCTGGTGTTCCCTGGGATTGTACCTGCTTTGTACGCTGAGTGCCGTGGACCATGTGCAGATCCACATATTCTGGTCCCTTGCCAAACGCCATTGCAAGCGAATTCTCAGTTTCTGCATTCAGGACAGGGTGTGAGGGTACACAGAGGCAAAGCCTTTAAATTCTGTCTATTATATTCACTGGAGGGAAGAGAAATTTATTTCTAAGGTCATTAAGCTGCAGATACAGTACATATGACTTGAAAAGAGAAAGAAAATTGAAAATGAAATGCAACACGTAGATCACAAAGGTTTCTGTAAAAAATCTTGATATCTTTACATGTAATAGGTCTTCCAAGTGGCCTGACTCTTGTGTGGCATGGTTGCATTCAGTTAAATTCTACTTTTGCATTTCACATGATTAACTAAACCTTAACGGAATTGAATGGCGGTACTAAATTTTGCTGGGCGGTTCTTCATAGCACAGACCAGTGATAGAAACACCCAGCACTCCCCCTGCACAGTTGTGAGGAGAGGTGATCTGGGGGTTTTACCATGAGGTGCTTGGAATTCTCTGCATGTGAGGTCACAGGAAACAGCAGTGTGATGACCTGTCAGATGAGTCAGACACCAGACTGAGACACTGCTGCAAAACACATTGTGAAGAAAGACAAAGCCTGGCTCGAGCATTTCTCTTTATTTTTAGGTTCTGTGCAAATCTGTCATTGGTTAGAACAGAGATAGGAGCCTTTTATCATTTCTGAAACATACTGGGCTATATAAAAAGCACAAGAATCCACTATGACAAAATGAGCATGAAATGAAAGGACAAGAAATACACACAGAAATATACCAGATGGCAGATGTATATAGTTTTGAATGAAACATTTTTATTTTCTTTGTAAAACTCCACAAGTCAATTGGCAGGGGCTATAGCCCATCAGTGAGAGTTGTGCTGATTTCCATCCATGTGGTGACTGGGATCTTTTTTGTGTCTTCTTTTCATATAACCAAATGTCTCCTGTTGAGAGCAGTAGTGCAGAATGACATGTTTGCATGGTTATTCTGAGGGATCATGGTTTTTTGATCTGGAGAGGTGACAACCTGTCCATGTGGCCAAGGTCCCCAAAGCCTGAAACATGGAGCCGGGGGGCAGCGGGTAGGGTGGGGATGAGTGTGGACTGGGAGGGGTAATGACCCCTGTTTGTGCAGCAAGGTACTGTGCAGCAGTGGTGTGAGGTAGGGGCTGTCTTATCTGAGGCACTTCAGCTTCTAATGTCATTGAAGGAAGTGTTATTGACATCAAGTCTGGCTTTCATCCATTAAAACAGACAAATTAAATTCACCAAGAGATAAATTTCTGTTTATATCAACCTGATATCACAAATAAATGGATCCAAGACGTGGGTTTACATGTCTTATTACTACTGTACTTTGAAACATGATCTCTGTAGATCTTTCCTGGCATTAGTTTTCTCTTGGAAACTGAAACTTTTCCTTAATTCATTAAAAGCAGAGTTTAGCTCTCAAAAGAATTCCAGTCTAATTCATTTCAGTGATTCATCCTTGACATGTTCTGAAAACTGAGAAGCGCTAAGATCACTGCTCCCAGATGTGCACAGTACCGTACTCTATAACTCTGTTACTTCATTTAAATTCAGCCCGTGAATTCACAAAAGTGAAAAGAACATGGTTATAAAGTGATATGTACTTGGGCAAAACTCAGGCCACATAGCCATTATTAACAGGCTGGAAATACTCTGAATTTGAAACCTGCTGTATTTGTATTTGAACCATGATGCAGTGAATTCTTGTGCAACAGGGTGCCAAAGGAGATCCGGGACTGTCCCCAGGCCAGGCTCCACCTGGAGAGAAGGTAGGGTGTCCATCTCGGGAGCCTTTTGCTGCTCACCTGTAAACTGTGTCTATTTTTCTCCCTGTGCTTTTCATATTGGGACATTATTTAATGACTGTTCTTTTTCTAATTTCTTTAATACATCTTTTTGACATGGATTTTTCTCCTCGCTGTTGTAATTTCTTGTGCTTCTGTGACCTCTGCTCCCTGATTTATAGCTGGCTGTACCCCTGTGTTATTGTTAGCATGCAGTGCAGAGTTGAGACACACCAGTGTCGATGAACTCTGGGCTTGCTCTGTACACGGAGAGGGTTTGGAATGCAACAGGGCTGCAGCAGGCTGTTTACAGGCGTGCCAATCTCAGTAGTTCCCCTGTAACATTTTTAAATAAAGTTGGATTTTCAGCTCTGCCCCTAGCCAATGTTTTAAGACAAAGTTTCGACATAAAATAATGACATACTGTAAGTCACAACTAGGCACTTGAAAGGTCAATTAAATATGAAGGACCCATAAGACACGCACACTGATTGAAAAGTTAGCAAGCATCCATTCTCCGCTTCAGTTGGTGAATCCTTTAATCACCGGAGCTACTGGATCTTTCCGAACTAGAGGGGATCATGAAGCTGAAGATCCATGTTTTCCTTCCAGGGTGACCCAGGGTTTCCAGGGCCGCTGGGACAGCCAGGTGTTCCAGGTGTAGAGGTGAGACTGTGATCAAGAAACTGGGCAAATGCAATGTGGTATTTTTACACTGGTAAACCTGTCGGACAAATGAAGAGACAAAGAGGTTCCAAATGTGAAGTCTTGTGGATTTTAATGAACACACCAGGGCGCTCTCAGTGTCTTTTTCAGCTTATATACTTTAACTCTGTTTGTTGTTTTCAGTATTAATAAATTAGTAAGTATTCAGTATTAGTAAATTCAGTAAGATTTTGTTTTGCTTTGAAATGTAAACTCGCAAGAAATGGGGCGCTGTGTGGAAAGCAATGTCAGCAGCCCCATGGGTTAATGTAGGACTTGTTCTCACCAGCCACGGTGCTGGAATCTGTCTCGTACCCCTGCAGCTGAGCACATGTTGCCAACTGCCATCCTAACAGTGTGGGCAGTCAGAGTAAAAACAAGCACAGGGAAGTGAGTAACATCAGCTGATACAAGGGCCGCTTTACATGAGCATTCATTCAGTGTTACTATGACATGGGTTATAAAGCTTCAAAAAGAGGAATAGTGAGTAAATCTATTTATTTACTCTGAAAACAGATGCACTGAAGAGATGCTAGGTTCATGATTAATTTTATGATATGGTTTTGGTATTTTGTCTAAGTATTTATAATTGTATTTTTATCCAAGGTGAGTCACGTGAACTCATTCCTCAAGTCCCTTAAAGTTTATGGAAGGTCTTAATCCCTAGTTTAATACTTAAATTCAGTTTCATAGCTTTATTCTGTTTTCATACCTGATTAGTTTGGAAAGTGGGCAGCTTCCTTCAGAAAAACAATATTGCAGCCATTTTTTCAAGAATGCACGAGATCCTGGAATCAATAAACTACTAACTGCCAAGTGGGGTAGATAGGCTACATGGCCTCCTCTCGTTTATACAGTACACCTTGTTTTAGTGGCTTTATCTCAGTCTTTTAATAAAGTACAGTAATTCACTTAAATGTGGAAATTGTTTCATGTTGGACATGCTGGACCCTTCTGTTAAGAAAATACCGTGCTTCCAGATTTTTATGATATCCCTGCAACTTCTCATGACCTCTTGTTAATACCTTGTACTGGATTTGCTCTGCTTGGGTGGTTTCAGTTGAAATTAGTTGCTCCAATCTGAGGAAAGAATTCAGTCATAAATGTCCACCCATTATATTTCAGACTACACAGAGGGATATACTGTATGTAAGACAATATCCTTGGGCAGAAGTTAACATTTTTACAAATCTTGTTTTTTCAAACAGGCAGAAAGAACAATGACTTTATCCATGCTCTTATGATTATGATAGACCCTTCTTTTCCTTTTGAAAGTCTGAACTAGTATTATGAGTCCAAGGTGAATTCTTTAGATTTCCATTTATTGAACACTTATTACACAGATTAGACATCAACCAATGTGATAGATTTGTCTTGTGGCACTCAGTGTATTTGTTAAAAAGAATATTTACTTTAATAACTCTTTGTATGAGTAGTGCAATATGATTTTATGATTCAAGTGAGAATGCCCAGGGCAACAGAACCCCCAACAATGTATTATTCACTGTATTATGGTTTGTTCTAACTTTAGTGCAGGTCAGGAAATGGTATTCACTTGGGAACAGCAGAAGTTCAGGACAACAGACCACATTCTAGGTCAGCAACACCAAGCAGATGGGCTGTGACCGGAGCCCTGAGTTATCCTACACATGTGAGCTATGGTGCACATGCTTAAGGGCCCTTTCCGAGTGCTGTTTCCTAAAGATGCACTAGACCCGTGAGTGATGAGGAGGGCTTGGGTCATTTCAGAAATACCCATTGTCCAAGAGTCAGGATTCAGACTGTGTGCAGGCATTTGATATGAGCTATTGCAGCACATGTGTTGGTGTGTCATTTCTGAAAATGCCATCTGCAGTTCCCTCTCCTGGCTGACATTAGTACCACCCTGAAACCTGCTGGGATTGTTGGTTTCTTTGCAAATTATTGTATGTTTCATGGATACATACATACAATTTCTAGATAATTGCTGGAATATGGTTAAAAATGTTTTCCTACTGAATGATCACAAACTACCCTCCTTGGTCACTGGATTATTGTTAGAAAATGTTAATAGCTTTTTCTTGAAAGGTGAAAGCTGAAAAGGTGCCAAACATGACATACAGTACAGTCCTTCTGGTTGCAAATTATTCAGATATTAATGTCTTGTTCAGTTTATTGCAGCTCTCTGCTGTCCTACAATAAAATATGTAGTTCTTTTAGTGCAGATATAGTACAGATTCAAGGAAATAGTTATAGAAGTATAACATTTCAAGTGCAACTGTCACCACTTGGCACAAATAATTTAAATTAGCTGTGGCCCGTGACAGGGATGATTTGCAGAGGTGATATTATCCTCTTAATTTTTTAGTTTTTTTAGTTGTGTAATTAAATCTTTTCTGCCTGATACTTAACGTTTGTTAACACAACCCTGCCCTGTTCTGTTGTTATTTATTAAACTATTCTTTCCTTCATTGCTTTGGAGAACTGGAGTGGTCTCTTGACCAGGTCCTCATTATAAATAAGAATTGACTTTCAACTGACTTACCTGGTTAAATAAAGAATTAAAAAATACAATGTCATAGTGCAGTTGGTGTTATTGATATTTGTCCTTTGTAATGTACCACAAACGTAAGGACGTAGGAATAAATCTGAGATGTATGGAAAGCTCCCATTGTTTTCTGCTATTCTAAATTGAAAAAACCTGCTCTGGTGTCATAAACGTGTCAGTTCTTTTTTTGACAACGTCTTTTGTTTCCTCCTCACACGCTGTCTTGAGTTCTGTACAGTATTATTAACTCTAACTGGGGGAGTGTTGTGACAGCGACTGGAAATGAGTTAGATGTTTTGGCCAGTTTCCAGCATTCGAAAGGAAAAATTGCTCGTTGATGAAGGCAGGCAGCCTGTGTTTTATATAAACCTGGGTACATTCAGCGGAGAGGATTAATTCAACATAGCTCATCCACAAGTGAGCAAACGGCCGACTGGTGAGCAGAATTTAAAGAGCACTGGCTTAGATTTTCATCCATCCAAAAAAGCTGAAAGCCTTTGATGCATCTTCTTCCCCTCTGTGGCAATGTGAACTGATAGCTTTTTGATCCACTTAAAGGGATAATGAAAAGCAGATAAGCCTTCATGCTGGCTGAAAGATTCTTTTCAATGGTTGTTACCCGCAGGGTCCCAAGGGGTACACAGGGCCACCAGGGCTGCCGGGGGAACAGGTGAGTCACCCCTCTGCTTCCACAGACAAGCGTGACCAGTCAGGAGCTAACTGCAGGTCAGAAAAGACTCTCACAGGCTCAAGCTGAGCCTAGACATCCACAACTCATATTGATGACTGTCAGACAGTGGCCCAAGTTAAATCAGAGCTTCCAGCCACCCTTCATGAATTACAAACCAAGTACTGATCTGGACAGGTCGTTTGATTTGGTGGCAACATTACACTTAAACAGTGCAGCTCAATTTGCAGGGGAAAAAGAAGAGAAAAGGCACACTGAGCAGAGACGACAGTTTCTTGTTCATTAAGAGAAAAGGTACAGTGTGGAAAGTCTCTTTAGTAAGAGTGTAGGAGGAGTTCAGGATTCTTGTGAGCCTCAAGACCGCGGGACGAAGCTTGTCTCCTGGTGATGAGACGCACAGGCTGACAGGAAGAGGGAGGAAGAAGGGCTGCCATTAGTGTCTGTCTTGTTCCCCGGCCGGCCGTGTCGGGGAATGTGCTGATTTCTCCTCTTTTATCCCACGCTTCCTGTTCCTCCATAGGGAATCCCAGGACCACCAGGAACGGCTGGGGCAGCAGGTTACCCTGGCAGGCAGGTGCAGTAACTATGCTACACATTCCTTTTCCAGGGTCTCCTTCCTTCACCCCAGTGTCAGCTATATTTAGCGCAGTGTATGGAAGAGTCAACACTGCCGCTGCCGGTAAAAGAGACATACTCCCAGTGTCGTGAATATACTGTAAATGCTTGGCAGCACGTGCACAAGAATGCCGTTGTTGAAAGTTATACCTCTTTGCCATCAGACCAGTAATCCTTTAGACAAGCAGGACTGAACAAGCCGTGACTTGAAATACAGTCTCTGATATGTCAGCTGGGAGAACAAAAGTTTGCATAAACAAAAAGAAAGGGTCTGTCATTGTACTGCACAGTATCCTGAATGATTTGCTGTTAAAGAGTTGTGCAACCTTAAGAACCAAGTGTAAGGTTTTCCTAACACCTCAATAGCAGTGAAAATTTATTTCACACTAATAAAGATTTACATTGTGAAAACAGACTTTAATCACACCAATCTGGTATGTGTGACTGTTTAATTTTAAACATATATATACAAAGCTCCTTAATGTCTAACTTATATTTATGTAATTGAATTCCCTTCCTTTTTCTATTATGAACTTGTTGGTGTTGCATGGTCTTTAGCAACATCTCCTTCTGATAAATGCTTTGTGTCTACTTGTTCCAGGGCTTGGCTGGGCCAGAAGGTAACCCAGGTCCTAAAGGTGTCCGTGTAAGTAAAGAGTCTGCACAATGAAGAGCACTTGCAGGCCTTTCCTGTCTTCAGTGCCTTGTAGAGCTGTTTGATTAGAGGATGACAAGTTGATCCCAGAGTTGTGAGAGAGTGTTGTGCTGTGAGCCCGTGATTTTAGCGTAGTGCATCACATTGGAGTATGTTGTCTGTTCCCATTTTGGTTAAAGGCAGCATAATTCAGACTCACCCCAGGCTGAGGGTAGAGCAGAGGGTATTTCCTGCTCAGAGCAGAGCTTGATTCCTTCTCTAATGCAGCCTAATGAAGAGGAAGACCCAGGTGATTTGAAGGAAGGTGTAGCTAAAACGGCCAAGATCCCACAGACTGTATGTACTGCAGGCTCAGTCAACGGCCTTACTTTGCAGACAGGTAGCAGACTGTAACCTTGAGTAGCCACTGAGCAGCCATGATCACAGTCAACAAAAACACAAAACACTGCCGACACCTACAGGCTATAGACCTTTGTACCCACTAATTGACTGAATACAGTTGCTGGGGGAAAAAAAAACATAACGATTGTGCTCATGCTCTCGAGTGGGACTGGCATCTTTAAAGCAGCGTCAGTGTTCAATTAAAATAGAAACAGCAAAAGAAAATACAGTATAATAAAGTGAAACCGATGTTCTTCAGAGTTTTCTTATTGCTGTATATTATGGGTTAAGGCTGATGGTTTCCTTGTTTCACTGCCCACGTAATTATAGGCTAAAGGGCAAGAACATCTGGAACTCTACAGAACTTTTCCTTTGGGGAGGTGGTAGTAAACATCTGTGGTTTTGTTGAAGGTTGCTGTACAGTACCTATGAATAAAAGTAGCAGACTGTACAGTAAGTGATACAGTACATTATGTACTGTGTGCTACTGAGCTGAACTGGAAGGAGAGGGTGGAAGGGTTGTGAGTGAGAGTTACTGATGGTCACCCTCCTTGGTGACGTCCAAACAAGACATGAGCAAAGTGGAGCACAATTCATTGCTCCGGGGTGAAGGAGACCCAGATCACATATTTATTTTTTCTAACCTGATTGCGAACGGGATGAATTGGTACTTGTCCACAAGTTCGTTGTCCTTACCGACGTAGAGGTGGGGTAAAGAGATGAGGTTTGTGCCCCAAATGAGCCATTTCAGAGAGTTTACATATTACGCCAAGTTTGGCTTTGCATTTTACGTTGCTTGATTTGATTTAGTTGACTTGTTGGAGGATGAAAACAAAAAAAACAAACAGAAAACAGACACATCGGTTCTCAAAGGCCCCCCCTGTGTTTCCTCAGCTATTACAGTCAGGAAATGAAGTTTTAAAAACTCCAAGTTACCAAGTCTGTTAAGATTGCTATTTGCAAAGCCTCTTGTCCAGCACATAAACCCCAGGAAGGCTCAGTGCTTTCTAAACATCTCCCTGGCTTGGTGAAGGACTTTATTTATTGGAACAATATTGTGTCGGCCTTCTGGGCCTAAGTGGGAGACGGAGCCGATGGAAAGCAGCTGCTCAGACAAGCGAACAGTGGCTTCAGGGTACTCCTCACTCGGCCTTATGGGCAGCCTCTGCCACAGACGCTCTCCGGGAACGGTGCGCCGAGTTGGGGGGGGGACCGCCAGATTCTCAGGGAGGGGCTCTCTCTCAGTGTCTTAATTCACTTTGGCCATCAGACATGTTGGACCAATCTGAATGTGATCTCTACCTCTAGGCTGTGGGCTGAGAATGGGAGCATGTTTGTATATCTCTGCAAGGGTCGGGGTTGGGAGATCAGATTCTGGTGCGTGTAAGTAAGTGATTAATGAACAGCTTACCATCTGACCGGCACATCACAGACGCACACAGTGTGTGTTTCATTAGCGGATTATGTTTTCAGAGAGCTCCACATCCCGGGCTGGGGTTGTGCTATAGGGTTGCAACCACTGGATGAACCTGGAGCCTTATTTATCACAGGTACTGGATTGCGATTTGAAAAGTGAAAGCCTGGAACAAATAAGGACAAATACATTTCCAAAACAGAAATAACTAAGGCTGACACATAATAATTCAAGAGTACTGCAACCAGCATTAAGTATTTCCCCTCCTTCAGTCCAGACATCACGTTGATGCCCTCTGAGTGAAGCCTGTTCATGTTGCTGTGTGCAGGGCAGCTGAGCTCAGCTTGGATTGACAGGGGCTGTAGGCCTCCAGGCTGACAGACACACAGATGCAAGAAAAAAAGCCTATGACATCCGCTGTGTGATATTGACTGATATTAAAAATCTGAAAAGACACTTACACAAGAACTCTTAATAGCAATAGCATACAAATAGAAAAAAAATATAGAATAAAAAAGTGTAACATGGTTGTACTGTACAAAGGTTCAGAGTGAAAACTGAGCTTGTGACTGCTGTGTGTGTTTCAGGGTTTCATCGGCCCCCCTGGGGTGGCTGGTCCACCTGGCCTGGAGGGAGAGAGGGTGAGTCCAACAGCCTGAGCCCTTCTTCCCAGTGCAGAGACACCAC